ATAATCTATACTTTTGTTGTTGTTGTTGTTGTTATGTGCCGTCGAGTTGGACCCGACTCATAGTGACCCCTCCTTGGGTTTCCAAGGCAGTATCACTATGTAAGTAGATTGCCCCACAAACCCACCAGCCACTCCTCGAAAGGAATCTATGCTTTAGACAGGTAAAAATCTCACCTTTGGCATCCCGTAACAGAGACTGCCGACCGACACCTAGCAACGTCTGTACCCCAGGAACACTCTGAGGGATCTCCTTATCTAGTAAGGGACCAATTCGCTCACAAATTTTAAGGAGGTAGTCTGGAGGAATGTGTGCATTGGCTGCCACCTAAAACACATAATTTAAAAATACAGAATCAGGAAAATAAAATTTTACATATTGAATACTTTAATATGTCAACCAAAGGTAAGAAATAGCTATAGCAATTACATACATTTAAATAATATGACAATATTTAAATGGCATGGCATGTCATTCTTTCTTGTTTGCCTCAATGAAATCATTAGCTTAGCTGTTTAGCTCATGAAATAAGTGTTACAAAGTAGCAAAAGTGAACACACCTACAATTTTTAAAGGTACAAAAATTCTGGGTAAACTCCAGTACTTGATTTATTGAGTAGTAATAATGAACCATGAATCAGAATATCTAGATTCTATACAAATGATAAGCAATGCAAATGAAAGGTATTAGTACCTGCACCAAACTCTCAAACAAGTCCCCTTAAGACTAAAACAATACACATCTGCACAATGAAGCAGAGTTTTTTTCCTATAAAAGTTAACTGTTCTCCAAAAGGGTATCAATTAATGACTTTGTAAACACTATGCTCTGAACTAGTGTGCTATGCAGCCAAAATTCATTGTAACATGAACTCCTTTTAAAGAATTTCTAGAGATGGGATACATTTATTGACAAGAATGAAATAATAAAAATCTATTTTTCCATTTTTATCTAAGCTAATGTTCAAATTCCTGATGTATATCACAAAATCATAATTATTAAAAAGAATGAATGGAAAACCAAAATATTCAAAATCCTTATAAAGATGGTATTTATGTACATATACATTTTGAAAATAAGATCCTAAAATCTACTTCTGGCTGTTTTTGGTGTTAGGTACCATTGAGTTGGTTATGACTTACACCAACCTTAGGTACAACAGAACAAAACATTGCCCGGTCCCTGCGCCATCCTCACTATCCCTTCTGTGTTTGAATCCACTGCTAGAACTATTATGTCAATCCATCCCATCCAGGGTCTTTTTCACTGATATTTACTTTACCAATAGAGCTCTGGTGACACAGAGGTTGAGGCATTGGGCTGTTAACCAGAGAGTCAGTAGTTCAAACCACCCACCAGCTGCTCTGCAGAAGGAAGATGAGGCAATCTATTTCCATAAAGATTTATAGCCTTAGAAACCCTATGGCCTGCTATGAATCAGAATAGACTCAATGGTAATGGATTTTACTTTACCAAGCATGTCTTTTACCAGGGATTGGTCCTTCCTGATAACATGTTCAAAGTGGGACAAAGTCTTGCCATCTTCCCTCCTAAGGAGCATTCTGGCTTTATTACTTCTTCCAAGAAAAATTTTCAACCTTCTGGCAGTCCATGATATATTCAATATTCTTCACTTACACTATAATTCAAAGGCATCAATTCTTCCTCAGTCTTCCTTATTCATTATCCAGCTTTCACTTCCACATATGAGATGATTGAAAATACCATGGCTTAGGTCAGGCTCACCTTTGTGCTCATAGGGGCATGTTGTTTTTTTAACACTTTAAAGAAGTCTTCTTCAGATTTCCTCAATGCAGTATGTCATTTAATTTCTTGACTATAGCTTCCATGGCCATTGATTGTGGATCCAAGTAAAGTAAAATCCTTGATAATATCAAACTTTTCTCCATTTATCATGTTGCTTATTGTTCAATTGTGAAGATTTTTGTTTTCATGTTGAGGTATAATACATACTGAAGGCTGTAATCTTAGTTCTTCTTCAGTAAGTGCATCAAGTCCTCTTTGTTTTCAGCAAGCAAGGTTGTGTCATCTACTTATCACAGGTTGTTAGTATGTTTTCCTCAGATCCTGATGCAGTGTTCTTCAAATAGTCCAAATCCAAACCAAACCAAACCAAACCCACTGATATCTAATCAATTTCAACTCACACAGATCTTAAAGGACAGAGTAGAACTGCCCCATAAGGTTTCCAAGGCAACAAATCTTTATCGAAGCACACTGCCTCATCTTCCTTCCACAGAGCGGCTGGTAAGTTCAAACCACAGACCTTTAGTTAGCAGACAAATGCTTTAACCACTGCACCACTAGAGCGCCTTTCACATAGTCCAGGTTCTCACATTATTTGTTAAGCATACAGACTGAATAAGTATGGTGAAAGGATACAACCCCCATGCACACCTTTCCTGATTTTGAAACTTGCAATATCCCGTTTTTCTGTACGAATGACTGCCTCTTGGTCTGTGTACAGGTTTCACGGGACCACAATTAAGTGTTCTGGAATTCCCATTTTTTGTAATACTATCCATAATTTGTTATGATTCATACAGTCCATAAATTACCAGTAAACATCTTTCTAGTACACTCTGCTTTCGGGGAAGATCCATATGCTATCAGCAATGATATCCCTTGATCCTCGTCCTCATCTGAATCAAGCTTGAATTTCTGCCAATTCCCTATGAGTATACTGCAGTGTTGAATTATCTTCTGCAAAATTTTACTTGTGTAGGATATTAATGATATTATTTGATAATTTTTACATTCCATTAGTTCACTTTTCTTTGAAACAGGCACAAATATGGATGTCTGTCAATCAGTTAGTCAGATAACTAACTTCCAAAATTCTTCATTAATAATAATGTTGGCTATTGCTTTGGCATAGATGCACTTTATTATGTTGAGGAATGTCCCCTCTATTCCTATTTTGCTGAAAGTTTTGTTCAAGAATGGGTGTTGGATTTTATCAAATGCCTTTTCCGCATCAATTGATATGATCATGTGGTTCTTTTTCTTTATTTATGTGGTGGATGACGTTGATTGTTTTTCTAATGTTGAACCATCCCTGCATACCTGATACGAACCCCA